AGCCCTGATTTTTTTCTCCGTGTAGATGAAAAACTGTGAGCGCTAGGGGGGGGGTACATGGTCATTTTCCGTAACCGTTTTAATAGGGTTCCTTCCGGGTACGAAACCCTAAAAATGACGAAAATGTTTACAAATACAAAAGGAAGTTGATTATTGTTTATATAATTGTTAATATTAATGATAATTTTTAACTTTAAAATAATTTTTTACTAAATTAGACATAAATTCAAACTTGTCTGCAAAAAAAACAATTTTTTTTATGAAGAAGGTCCGAAGTAATCTATTTGTTAATTAACATTGTATGCAACAATTTAAAAAATTGTATTATGCTTTATTAATTGTCCGGTGGCCATACTAGACTAATTTAAATTGATTTTGATCATGTGCAATAGAAAAATAAAAAAATAAACATGATTTTTTCTAAAAATATTGTAATTTGTCAAATTTTTGAGTAACAAGAAAAAAATAAACAATTAAAAAATCGACTTTGATGGATCTCTTAGTAACTTTAAATCAAGAACATTAACATCCGATAAAATTTGTAGTTTCTAAACAATTTTCAATAGTAAGTTGAAAAAAAATTCTTCTGTTCATCGCGCTGGAGTGCGCGAGCAGACTGACAAATTTCACTTATTACACTATATCTTTGGCAAATTTTTTCGGCCCATTTTCAGCCTTATATATTTTATTATTCAAACAATAATTATTTAACGTACTTTCGGCTGGGGATACAGAAAAATTGTATACGACACACGGCCAGAAATTTGGATACCCTAGCGAGCGTGATATATAAAGCCTCGGCTTCGCCTCGGCCTTATATATCACGCCGGCCAGGAAATCCAACTTTCTGGCCTAGTATCGTAATATACTATTTCTTTTTCTCCGCTTAGCTTCGCCAAAAATATATAAGTATTTTCTTTTGTGTATACCGAATTGAGTGCCATGGGATGTACATAATTTACCTCTCTTTGTAAGAAAACGCGTAGTAGTAATAAATACTACATAAAAACGCGTAATCTCAAGGAGAGCCACACAACGGAATATAAACACAGCTGTGTTTACAATCACAGCCCTGCTTAGTTTCTTGCTCGCTTGAGTCATTACTTTATTAAATTTACTAAATTGCTTTTAAAATTAAAAACTCGAAAATATTATTTTCAAAATATAATTTTGCAAAATTAAATTAAATAAAATTCATTGTTGAAAATTATTATCTAATTAAACCTAATCAGATTGATTGTTAAAATTCTTTTAAAAAAAAAAAATAAATAAATAAATAATTGAAAATAACTAAATTGATTATTGTAAAACTTAATAATTCTACTAAAATCTAAAATGAATTAATAATGACTAGAAGACGCCACAGGGTAACTACGAGAAGTCAAACAAACGCGTTCCAAAACAGAGACGAAATGTTGCGAACACCTCCATTCGGTACCCAACAACCTGTAGAACAGAACCAACAACAAACGCCACTTATCGAAAACCCCAACAGCTCCGCTGAAATAGAAACCGTTCAAAATGAACAATTAGGCGAACAATTAAGCGACCAACAAACCGAACACGTGAACCAAAATCAAAATAATTCCGAAATGTGTAGCGCCCTCCCAAATTTAGGCACTATATCAAAAACATACAACACAAAACGCGGAAGAAAAATTAAAAATCCAAAAACACCCATAACGTCAACCCAACTCAAACAATTTTTTTCGCGAATCGAGTTAACCGCAGCAAATCTGCAACAACAAAATCACGACTTTAAAGAGCAAATGTACACAACATTTACTCAACACCTAAGACAATCACGCGAACAAATGCAATCGTTACATGATGAAAACCATCATGAAATAAACGCATTGCGAAAAGAGACATCAAAAGCGATAGAGGCCCTCAGTCAAAAAGTGTCTCAGTTACAAACAAAACTAGTGCAGTCGCCTTGGCATGACTCGCACTGGGAGTACGACCTAAGCGGCGAACACGTTGTCATACCAACGTCGCTCCCCCCTACGTGTACTACTGCCACGGTAACCACCACGTTTACCACCACTCAAACATCACACAGTACGGCAAAGGCCCCACACACAACTGTGCCCCCACCTGGCAAACGTGGGAAGAATTTTCATTAAAATTCAGGAAAACATTTGGAGATTCTAACGATGATCAAAGAATCACAAACAAAATACAACGCGCGGTACAACTCGAAACCGAAACCGGTATCGAATTCGTCATTCGGATAGGATCTCTTTTCAACAAACTCCAAGAAAAAGTCCCCGAAAAAAATCAGTTGGATAAAATTTACTCTGCGCTCCATTCCGAATTAATTTTACAATTTGATCGCGATAGTTTTTTAACATACGACGGTTTAATTGACAAAATCCGGAAATATGAGGAAAAAATTGCAACAATGCAATTAACAACAAAATTAAGAGAAATTGATTCGAAAAGATCTCGTAACACACGTGGTAAAAATCAACTTAACGCGGTCGAAACAACTTCGCCCCCTACCGTTGAAAATTTACCAACCACCCCCACTACAGAAACAAAAAACGAAACGAAGCAAAAAGCAGCGAAAAATACAAAAAAGCAAAATAAAAGCGAAAATAAACAAGATTCGAATAAAACCGAAATTTATAAACGCCAACTTAACAAACTTGAACAAAAGTTGTATGGCGAAAATTCCAAAACCGAGAATCCAAAATTAGCCCCCGATACTAAATCAAAAAAACCAACTTCCGATAAAAGCAAATCGCGTCGCCGATCTTCTGCTCGATCTTCATACTCCTCAAGCTCTGCTTCGTCGCAGAAGGAGGGGGAAAGACATCGATCGTCTTCGCGTAGAGATAGTGATAACAATAAAAAATCACAAAAACACAACGGTCGTGGTAACGGTCATCGTGGTGGCAGCAATAATCGCGGACGCGGTTATCAACGCGGATATTACAATAATCACGGTTACAACAATCATGATTATTATCAACACGGTTCCAATTTTCCCTCACATTGCCAACCGAACTGTCAGTGTAACGCGCAAGCATCTCAGCCAAATTTTCCGCCATAATAATGCTGACGAATCCACGTGTCTTCCCCGAAATGCATTAGCGCTACACAATGCGCATGCCGGTGGGAATTTCACTAGCGATTCTGAAAGCGACTATGACAATTGTCACTACTCGGAATCCGAAACCGAATACTCGGCCTCTGACTCTGATGAGGAACCTCCCCCCACCAATCCTACGCGATTACCTGATTCGAGCATTTCCTCACTATCGTCATTGCCTTCGAATAATTTTCCAAACCACTTATTCGTGTTAGAAAATAAATTCAAAAATAAAGTGTTCAAAGGGCCAGCATTGCCCTCACCGTCTCAAGAACGTCATATTATCTCAACTACGGTAATGATAGGTGAAAATAAATTCCCCGCTCTCCTCGACACCGGCAGTGATCGCACGTTCATGTCAGGAGAATCATTCGATAAAATAAAACAATTTTTAAAAGGTAAAGCCGTTCATGACGAGATAACCCGCGCTGGCGTACAGCTCGCTCATCGCGACCACGTGGCCACGCCCCGTTACTCAGTTAAATTCGAAATTCAAATAAACTACTGTTATGGTGAAGTTTGGTTTGCAGTCCTTGGTGGACTTACCACCCCCATCATTTTAGGTATGGATTTTTTAACCACGTGGAAAGTCATAATTGACGCCACTAGGTGTTATTGGTCCATAAAAGGTTCAAAAATACAAAACCCTTTGAGTTCAGTAAATAATTCGCGTAACTCCCTGAATTCAATTCAATTGATCGAATGGACAACAGATCAAAGAAAAACTCTTAATGAATTTCTAGACGAAAAATTGTCTAAATTTACCGCGGGAACAGGTGTCACAAATTTGACTACACACGTTATCGAGTTAACAGACCCGACTCCTTTTAAAATTAAACCATATCGACGTAGCATGGAAGCTAATAAAATAATCGATACTCAGGTAGACAAATATTTAGAAAAAAATTTATAGTACGAAGTAACGGTCGCTTTGCTAGCCCTGTAGTGTTGACATACCGTAAGGACGGCAGGCCAAGAGTCTGCATGGACTACCGTAAATTAAATAAAAATACGAAAAAGTCGGTTTATCCTTTGCCACGTATGGATGCAATACTAGACGCGTTATCAGAAGCTAATATCATTAGCACAATAGACCTCACCGACGCCTTCCACCACATTCCTATCGATCCCGAATCACGTGAATATACAGCTTTCACTATTCCGGGAAAGGGACAATTTGAATGGGTCCGAATGCCCTTCGGTTTGACAAACGCGCCGGCCACATTTCAAGCCTTAACCGACCGATTAAAAGAAAAATTCGTAGAGTATATCAGAAAACACAATTTTCCAGAACGTTATATAGATCAGGTTCACGCGTATCTAGATGATTGGATAATCATCTCAAGGACATTTGAAGAGCATATCTTGTTGTTAGACATTATTTTCACAATCCTTCAAGATGCAGGTTTGTCGATAAATAGAGAAAAATCTCATTTCGCGAAATCTTCCGTTGAGTATCTCGGTCTTCTCCTCGACACAGATGGTCTCAAACCGAATCCAAAGCGCATAGAACCGATTCTCGAGCGTCCAACCCCGCGAAACCGTAAAGAATTACGTCGATTCAACGGATCTGTGAATTGGTACCACAGACACTTACGCAATATCGCACGTGTTCAAGGGCCGCTAAATAAATTAGCAAGTCCCAAGGTCCCATGGGAATGGACAGACGAACATGAAAACGCGTATCAAGAAGTTAAAAACGCATTAAAAAATGCTCTAACCTTAAACGCACAGCGCCCTAATTTACCTTTCTTTTTATACACGGACGCGAGTGACACAGGGATTGGAGCGATCCTTACAAAAAAAGGGCGAAGATCGCGAATACTTAATTACGTGCGTGAGCAGACCACTTAGAGGTGCAGAATTGAACTACACCACTACTGAGAAGGAATGCTTGGCCGTAATTTTTGCTATCAAGAAACTTCGTTGTTATCTCGAAGCCACCGAGTTTACTGTCATAACTGACCACTCGAGTTTGATTTGGCTTCAAGGTATCAAGGACCCACGTGGCAGGCTCGCTCGTTGGGCTTTAGAATTATCCGCGAACCGCGTGAAAATCGAGCACCGTAAAGGTACTATGAAGGAGTTTCTACAACAACTTTCTTTAGATCGACACAAACAAAATGCACTGTCAAAATGATGCGCGCGCACAAACTAAATATCATCGTTTCGCGTTCCGATGTTTCTATGATTCTCTATGAATATATACACTGTGGGATTAAAATATGCAATTGTTCACTGCGTTCATTGGTGTAGTGTAAACAATAATTTGTAAACAATAATTTGTGACAATAATTTGTAAACAATAATTTGTATTTTCCTTTGAGATTCCTTTTTTTCATTGACTCCTTGGGTAAGTTTGTTTACATAATAAATAAAATAATAAATTATTACAGATAATGTAATTTATAGGTTATCTTATTATCACCTGTTATACCTGTTACATATTTATATTAAGTTTTTTTTTATATTTTATCAAGCAATGTTTATATTTAAAATAGGAATTGAAGAAATTTATGTTTGAGAGTAAATTATGTTATATTGTTTTTTAGTTTTTGGATTTTTTAACAAAACTGAACAGTTAATTTCAGTCCGTAAATCTATAACTGAATAAATGTCTGTTTATATTAATGATTTACAGGTGATTACAATGTCAAGAGAGGAGAGTCCCAATATTGATTTGAATTATGAATTAATTCGTTTGGTCGAAATGCACCCAAATTTATATGACCCAAAACGAAAGGACTACAGAGACTTAAGTAAAAGGAGCGAATCTTGGAGTGTTATTACAATTAATTTTAATAGAAATACAGGCTCTAAAGCGACTGGTAAATAATATATTTGTGCTAAATCCTTAGTTTCCTAATTGTAATCAATTATTGTATTATATTATCATATTAATGTTATTATATTCAATATATATAGTATAATTTTAAAAATTTTCTAATTTAAATTTATGTTGAAAACACTAAAAAAATTCAATTTTGGAGAAAGTACAAATAATTGCAGAAATTCAATTATTTTCCAAAAAAAATAAAATTCTTTTTATAAAAATCAACAATGTTCAAAATTTTTAAAAAATTCTCATAAACGTCAAAAAAATTATTGTCCTAATTTTAATAATTTTCAAAAAATTTTCTAATTTCAATGATTTTCAATATCTACTATTTTAATAAAATTTCCCAAAAAGAATTCAAATTTTAATGACTATTTTGCTAAAATTTCACAAAACAATTCTATTATTAAAAAAAAAAAAAAAAATGTTAGAAAATTCCTCTCAAACATTCAATTAAAATAATAAATATTAAAATTTTTCGTGAGAATTTAATTATTTCCAAAAATAATAAAATTCTTTAAAAAAATTTCAATTATTTCAAAGATTTTAATCAAAATTCTTGTAAAGAATTAAATTTTTTTTATAAATAATTCAATTTTTCAGGGAAATTACATTATTTTTTAAAATTTTAACAAAATTCTTCACAAAAATTCAATTAATTTCATAAGTAATAAAATTCTTTTGACGAATTCAAGTATTTCAAAAAATAATAAAATTTTTCTGACGAATTCAAGTATTCCGAAAAATAATAAGCCTCTTTGCAACATTCAAATTATTTCAAAGATTTAAATCATAATTCTTGTAAAGAATTCAATTATTTTTATAAATAAGTAAATTTTTTCAGAAAAATTCAATTATTTTTGAAAATGTGAACAAAATTCTTCATAAAAATTCAATTAATTTCATAAGTAAGAAAATTCTTATGAGGAATTCAATTATTTCAAAGATTTTAATCAATTTTTTGGAAAGAATTCAATTAATTTCATAAATAATTCTTTTGAAAAATAAATTAAATTATTTTCAAAAATAATAAAATTTAAAAATTTAAATGATTTAAAAGATCTTAATCAATTTTTTTGGGCAAGAATTCAATTAATTTTCTAAATAATAACATTTTTCTTATGAATTTAATTTTTTTTCAATTATAATCGATGCAATAATTCAATTATTTCTATAAATAATAAAAATCATTGTAGAATTTCATTTTTTTTTCATACAATTTTAAGTAAGTTTCGCGAAAAGTACAATTATTTTTAAAATATTTTATTAAAATATATTTGTAAAATAGAAAATCTAATTTGAAAACAAAATTGATTTTTTCGAAAATAATTTTAAATAAATAATAAAAATTTGACTGCAATTCCATTATTTTCATAAATAATAAAATTTTTTTAATGAATTCAATTATTATTTTCATAAAAAAAAATTTTAATTCTAGAAAAAAATATTGAATTAAAATGATTAAAATAATTTTGATGAAGTTACAGTTACAATATTCTTATAATATAAAATAATAATTTTATCTCTTGGTCATCTTTAATTATTAGAAAATATGAAGAAATAGATCACTCCGAGTCTTTGACTCGGAGCAATTGATATCTTCATATTTTATAACAATTTTTTTAAATTTGTTTAATTTCAAAAAGGTTAGAATTTAAAGTTTTTGAATGTCTTATATCCTGTGGAAGATCCTGTTTCAAAAATAAAATTAAAAATAGGAATTGTGCAAATATTTTTCTTCTTTTTCTAAAACAAAATAATAATTTTGTTAAAAATATTGTGATTTATAAAGAAAAATAATGCAAAATAAATAAATTTTCTATTTCTTAGTCACAGTTGTCTAACAATTTTCTAATTAATTATAAAATAAAAATAATTATAAACAAAAGACAACTTCAGAGTGTGAGGGACAGAAAAAGTGAATGAATGAAAGAATAAAAGAAAATTCTAATTAATATAGTTAATAATAATTAATAATAATAATTAATTAATATAATAATTAATATAATAATATAATATAAGCATTATATTTCAAAACGAACCACTTTATTTATTATTAGCGATTTTAAAAGCAAAATTTCTAAATTTTATGATGTAAAAATTCTTTCTTAAAAAATAATAAAATTCATAAAAAAATAAGTTTAAAAGATAATCTTTTCAATATCTCAAGACATGACGCGTCTGATTTTCTTGAAACTTATGTCAAAATGAAGTTTAAAAATTCTAGTTTTATTCTCTGTAAACATTAAAATGGGCAATTCATGAAAATTTAAGAAATTAATTAAATTTTATTACAATAATTTCGAAGGTTAAATGTATATACCGTTCGGAATTTGTTTTTTTAACACTTTTACACAGTTTAACCTTTGATATCTTTGTAAAATTTAACTAATTTTTTAATTTCAACCGAATTGCCCATTATAATGTTTGCAGAGAAAAAACCTTCAATTTTTAAGCTTCATTTTGACATAAGTTTTAAGAAAATCGTACGCAACATGTCTTGAAATATTCAAAAGATTATCTTTAAAAATTTTTTTTTTTCATAAATTCTATTATTTTTTACAAAAATTTTTTTACCATCATAAAGTTAATAAATTTTTTATTTAAAATGATTAGTAGTAAATACAGTTTGGTTTTAATAAATGGAAGAATTAATTTTTTATAAATTGCTTTACAATGGCAATTTTTTATAAGGTGGTTCGTTTTGAAATGAAATACCCCATATATTTCATACAAATACCCCATATATTTCTTTACAGTAAGTCATATAATTAATCAGTGGAAGCAATTAAAAAGTCAGTGCAAAAAATATGTAGAGGAACTAAAAAAATATGTACCTTCTGGATCGGAACAACAGCCAGAGAAGGAACAGTGGCTGTATTACACAGAAATGGCATTCATGGCAGATAAATTTGCACACAGAGAGTAAGTGTTCAAAAGAAATTTTCTTTTAGTGTCATGTACTTTATTTGTTAATTAAATATATTTTTCTTGTTATATTCTTCAGAACTGAAACTAACTTTGAAGAGGTTGCGGACCCAGATGTTGATATTGATAAAGGTATAAAAATGCATTTAATTAAAAGAAGCAAATCTGATTTGCTTTTGTCTTTTATGTGTAAAACTTTAGTAAGTTAATATTTTGAATTAAGTATTTATTATAAATTTGTCAAACATAAAATAATATATTAAAGTAACTGTATGTGAAAATTTTTTAAATCTTTATACGTTGTACATAATTTTATATTTTTCAGACTACTCATTGGACCAATTGTCAGGCCAAGAGATTGGACTTGGAATTACTAATGCAAATAAAGCAACTTCGTCAAATAATGAACTCGCTAATGAATATTTAAAAGTAATCTTAGACGCCTGGTCGAAAGTACCTGAGAACCAAAGGAACAAATGCTTCATACAGTTAAAAAAATTAATTGATCAAGAAAAAACAAAATAGGCCACTAGAATTTACTATGCTTTTTATTTAACATAAACAATGATTTCAAATTTTTGTTTTTATTTCTCTTATTCATGTCTTAATTTCATTTAATGTTGACTATTTTGCTTTTTTCCAAATGCTAAGGATATTTTTTTTAATTCTATTTCTTTAAGTATTATTAACAGTAATGTAGAAGACCCACAAGAGAAATATATAATTTATTCTTAATTTTTTTCATTTCTTTTATTTATTAAACAATACTAATTATTAGCAAAAGAATATTGTATTTGATTATTGTAGTATCCCAATATATGAGGCAAATTTTAGTTCCTCCCCACTAAAAAAAAATTTTTGAAATTTTTTTTATAATTTAGGTTCATTTGAAATCGCAAAAAAATCCCACTATGCTGGAGCGGCAGTGATCGACAAAAAAAAAAGTCAAATTATAGAAAAAAATATTTGCCCTAAAATGTCTTTTCACTTCTTGTTTACATACATTCTAAGGAACATTTATTAAAAGAAATTTTTTTTAATCGCTTGTAGAAAGCACTAAAAATTGCATTTGTTTATATAAAAATTATTAAAAAATAAAAAAATAATTTAAAAAATTTTTTATTTCATGACTCGAAAGTACATTTACTCACTGATATGACCACAAATTTTAGTTCAATTTATGCAAAAAATTAATTACTTAAAATTGAATTAATAAATGGGTTCAAAAATCTTTAAATAACAATAAATAATGTAAATAATTTAAATATTTTTAAAATACTCCGTGACAATGTTACTAGATACTAGTACTTTAAAATACAGATACTTATGTTAAATTTTGCAACTTTGTAAAAATAGGGGGAGGAAGATTTCAGAAATTTTTAAACTATATTGATAAGTAAAATTTATCAAATGAAAAGTGTGAATAATGAATTGAAAGGGTTTTTTTTCAATTTGCCTTTGAAATTAAAGGTAAAATTCTTAATTTCAATATATCTTAAAATCTATTATTAAAAGTTTTTTTAACCTATCCCAATGGAAAGGTTACCTTTTTTCCTATGCAGCATGTGAAAACCAAAGTGATCTTGAAAATTTTTTAAGAAAATTATTATAAATCATCATTTTTCTTATAAAATAATGATAAATTACTATTTTTTTGAAAAATTTCAAAGATCCCACTCTGGTTTTTACATGACGCATAGAAAAAAGGTAAGCTTTCCATTGGGATAAGTTAAAAAAAAATTTTTTTAATCTATTTTGAGATATATTCAAATTGAAAAAAATAAAATTTTCTTTTTATCACCAGCTTGTAGCTCATAGAAACCCTTACAAAACCACTATTTACACTTTTAATTTGATGAATTTTACTTATCAATATATTAAATCAGAAAAAAGATATTTCCAAAACAGTAAAAATTCTTAAACTCCGTAACTCAAAAAATTTTTTGTCAAATTCAATAATGTTTCATATTTACACATCTACTAATAACAGTAAAATTTTGGCAAAGTTTGAAAATAACTAAACACTATATACACGCTATACAAATATCAAGTTAAAAGTAAAAGTTCTTACTGTCCTACATTTTTCAAAATATTCCTATACTAACAAGCAGTAATCTTTGTAAAAACACAAAGAACTGTGGAATTCATTCAAATTTTTTTTACAATTCTAAATTTAATTTTTATATATTAATTTAAAATTTTTTAAGAATGTTTATTTTACAAAATTAATAATTATGTATAGAGAAATTTAAGAACTTCTTTTTGATTTTAATTTTATGTGATAGTGAATAAATTGCATCGAAGATGCTTTTCATGAAATTAAGGAACTTTTTAAAAGATTTAAATGGTATGATGTGTATTAAATTTGAATAAAATTTTATTAATTTTAAATATATATCTTTTTGCACTCTGACAGCAAAATCCTATTCAAAAATGACAAATTCCAATTTTTGAATTATATTATACTAGTTTTCATGCGTGCGCAGTTGTGCCGTGGTTGCTTGTGGGAATTCTAACCTATTCTAACCTTTTGTAAATTTCAGTCCATGTGAGTCTATCTGTAGCACGTGTTGAAGATTTTGAATTTAAAACAGCTTATTTTAAAAATGTCGACCAGATATACCACTGTATATTATGATAAAATACTTTTATCATTAGTGGAACAGAATCCATGCATTTACGACAAAAACATTCAATGCAGTTATTCGCAAGAGAGTATTGATAATCTGTGGACAGAACTAGCATTGTTTATCGAAAAAAACAATATTCCGATTAAAGGTAAACAAATAATTTGTGCTAAATATAATAATAATTAAATATTTTGGGTTTTTTTTATACCTGTATAATTATTATGTTTTATGTCAATACATTATAATAATCGTTCCATTAACAAATTATCTGAATTCATTTGTTTCTTTTGAAAATTAAATTTTGTGTGTTATTGTTATTTTTTCAAATGTCAAACTTTTCAACGGTAATGTTTATTTTTATGGACGCATAATTTCACCAAAATTATAACATTTATAATTGTCATATATCGGAATTTTAAACTTAAATAATCATTTACTTAAAAGGTTTACACTTATACACTTCGACAGATTAGTATTGAATGTTCGCTTCTCTTCAAATTCAAATATTTATGTAAAAATAGTAGTAAAAGCTATAAAACTAGAATCATTTTAAAGTTCAATACATTTAGAATCAAATAGGAAAAAAAATAACCAATTTAATAATGTAAATTTGAAAATATAATTCTTTAAAGTTGGAGATTTTTTACGAAAATTGCGATTTCGGAATCTGTAGTTCAAGCGAACGCCAATTAAAGAAAAATTTTTTTAAGACTTGACAATTGTACAATGTCAAGTACAAATTCCATTCTTTAATTCTACACTAAAATTATTCACATATATTAAGTATTTTCTTCAAATTGTATAAAAATAACTTCTCTTGCTCTAAATTTTGCAAAGAATATAAATTGTAAATTCGTCGTTTCTATTAATTTGTTTTATCAATTAACCACACTTTTGAAAAATATTGAACCTCTTGACTGTAGTAAATTTAAGTTATTTACATGAAATTTATTCCTCTTTTTATAATGTTACAAATTTTAACTCTGTTATTATTACTTTTTTTATTTCAAGGTGCCATTTTTCTAATTTTACAATAACAGAGAGATGCATGTTTTTCAGAAATATGGTTAATTGATAAAACAAGTGAATGGAAATGACAAATTTGCAATTTATATTCCTTGAATAAATTATAAAGTAAGAGAAATTATTTTTACAAAATTTAAGGCGAATAAAAATAAAACCGTTAAATTTTAAACAAATTGTTTCTTTAATTTCGCTTGAACTCCAGATTCCAAAACCGCAATTTTCGTAAAAAGTCTAATTTTAAAGAATTATATTTTCATATTTAAATTAATCAATTGGTCATTAAACTCTATTTGACTCTAAATTTATTGAGCTTTAAAATGATCCTAGTTTGATAGCTGTTGCATCTGTTTTTACAGAAATCTTTGAATTTGAAGTGAAGCGAGAATTTACAATTAAACATTCTGAATGTACTGAAACTTTGGGACCCGAGTGTATTATAAATATAAATTACAAAAATTGTACGTGTGATAACTGTTTTAGATATTTTTAAATAAGCGAAATTTAAATCCTCGAGTTATTATTTTACATATAATTTTAATTTAATGAAAGTTTTATTTCTTATAATTATAATTGTCATATCGTTAAATATTCTGCTAATCAGGTAATCCGTGGCATCACAATTAAAATAAATGGAAAGTTTATAAAATGAACATTATATTAAATAATAATAATCCACGAATCAATGAAAATCTGTTGTTAATTTTTTCAATTAAAAATGAATTATATCAAATTTCGGTAATTATGCAGTTACCAACTAGGAGGAGCAGCAAGATAAAACACGTAAATTACGTAAAAAAGTTTTTTTTCATATTTGTTTAAATTTTGAAAATATTATTTTTTTGCGAAAAGCAAGTCAAATTGACTTTTTAGTTGTTACTAGAAGGTACATAGAACACAGAACCAATACCCCTTACAACAAAATAATAAATACCCTTTTTTTGCATTTTCTATGGTGCGGCGGGATTCGCCCGCCTTCGAGTTATCTCGTTAAGGGGCATCTGGAAAAAAGGGTATTTCTTTTTTTGTTGTAAAGGGTATTGGTTCTGTGTTCTATGTACCTTCTAGTACCAACTAAAAAGTCAATTTTGACTTGTTTTTCGCAAAAAAATTATATTTTCAAAATTTCAACAAATATGAAAAAAAACTTTTTTACGTTATTTACATGTTTTATCTTGCTGCCCTCCCCTAGTTGGTAATAGAATAAAAGAAATTAACAAATAAACTAACCAAAAAATTTTTCATTTTCTTCATTTTAATTCGGTTTTTTGAGTCGTTTTTCAGCGCGAAAAAATACATAGAAATATACAATTGTTATGTCATAAATTTTTTTTTATTTCTTTGGTTCAAATTTGTGTTTTGCGTCGTTTTTTGAGTATAACTCAAAAAAAGAACCATTTTAATCATTCGGTCTTCGGATTTGGCTTCAGGGGGCAAAAATGCATAAGAATATACTAGTGTGGTGTCTCGGCCAAAACACTTTTTTTTGTGTGCCTGTGATAATTAATGAAATTTTAAGTTACTTTTTTACTACAGATATTTTGAATTTTGTTTTCCAAAAAAATTATCATTTATGTTCTTTGTTCAAAAAGATGAATGTATAATCAATTTTTACCTTTTCTGTTTTTTAGAATATTTAAAACTTTCGTAATGAAGATTATTTTTAATTATAAAAATGAAAGTATCAAATAACAATTTTTGCGAAATTAAATTTTTCTCGTACAACAAGAAAGTTTAATAATTTTGAATTTAGAAAATCTGATGTCAAATTTGAAACTAGTATCAAAATTTGTAAAGGTTTTTTTAAATACATACTTTAAATTTTTAATATAATATGAATTGAAAATTTACAGTCGGACACAATAATTGTAAGTCCACTCATTTTTAAAGGAATGAAAAAAATTTTGTAACATAAAATTTATAAAATTTAACATTTTTTTCGGTCTACATTTTGAAAGATGATAAAGTTTTGAAAATAATAAGATTTTATAGAAGTCATTTGGTTGGTCATTTGGTCATTTTCAATGTTTTACAAAAATTTGAATAACTTCTATAATAATGAACACTTTTTAATAATAATCTTAAGCTTATTTTAAAGACCATTTTCTACACAATAATAATTACTTATAGGCATTAACCTGTAATTTTTTTCTTATAATAAGCAGGACGTCAAAGTTAGACAAAAAAAATTCGAAAAATTGGAAACAATTTTTTTATACTAAAAACAATTCTAGAAAATATGTAAAACATGATATGGTTTAGATTTTTCAAGAAAAGGACCAAGCAGAATTTGCATTACTTTTGGTTCCCAGTCGATTTCTTTTCTAACTTTGAGATTTTAAAGTTATTATTTAGAATATCAAGAACTATAAAATCCCAAAGTTACAGAAAAATTGACTGAGAGCCAAAATTAATGTAAATCCTGTAAAGTCCTTTAATAAAAAAATATGTTTGAATTTAAAAAATTAATTTTCTTTTATTAATATTATTTCAAATTTTTTAAATTTCTTGATTGATATTTGTTAAAAATAAGTTAATTTACTTGTATAAATAGATTATAAGGTAAACATACCCAAAATAATAAATAAAAATTAATTTTAAAAGTTACCTATGAAATGTTTAAAGTCGCCATATTTCAATTATATCTCTCTAAAAAGTTTATAAATATTAAAAAATTTATTACTGATTAATAATAGGTACATTTATTGTACTTGCATATACAATTAATTTTTCGTTTTATAATATAGAAATGTGAAAAAAATTTACCTTTAATGTAGAGTCTTTCATCTAAATTATTTCCATGCTTTTTTTATTAAATTTTCATAGCTGCCAAACTAACCTTTTCTCTGTGCAACTCAATTTAGAAATTAAAATTATAAATTTAATTTAAAAAATTTTTGATAATAATTATCGAAAGTGAATTCTACAGATATTAAACATTATTTCTGGAAATTATCAGATTTTTCTAAAAATAAGCCGCAACGACTTTAGGTGAAATAAAATTTAAAAAAAATATTATTATTGAGAATGAAATGACATGTTGGAAATTTAAATATGACACAAATTTTTTTCCTACATATTTATTTATTGTGATCAATATATTCATTCATTCATTATATAACTTTAAAAATTTCTTAAAACTAAATAATTGAAATTAATTGAAGTAAAGAGTAAATTAATTAATTGTAATTAATTAATTGTAAATTAATTACAATTAATTGAAGTAAAAGTAAATTTTCTATTTAAAAATTTACTTTAATATTAATTTTATTTCTTATATTACGATTGCAGATCCAAAGAATCGTTGGACACGACTTCGACAAAATTTCATTCGGCATTTTAATAAAAACAATCGAAGCTGGTACTTGTTTGATTCCATGAAATTTCTTATTGGTCATTTTAAAGCGTAAGCAATTAATAATTTATTGAAGCCGTACATACAAAAATTTATTATTCATTTACAATATTGTAATATAAATCTTCCATTTATTTATTGTACAACTTTAATAAAATTTCCAGTTCTCAGACTTCAGAGACTTCATGCAACATTCCGCAATCAAAGATGGTGAGCCAATTAGTTGAACAGAATAAGAAGAAATTTCTTCAATCTTCCTCAACAACTGCAAGAAAGCGTTCATTTCGAGACGCAGACTTCGACGGTGAATTTCCAAGTACCTCTAAAGTACAAAACACTACTCCTACTTCTCCTAATAACATTGTACAGGTTGAAAGTTCACAATCTTCTGACAACAATAGTAACAATTTATATTTAAATGAGAATTTAGATTTTTCATCTCTCGATATCGCAAGTGAAATATCTTATTCATCAATGCCTTTGAATTCAGATTCAGAAGATTCATGGATGACTGATCATGGTCATGATTATAATTTTAGTTCATCGACTAAATGTGGAAATTTCCCAGTTCAACGTAGTGTTGAAAACTTCTTTCCACAAGATAGTTCAAAATCAGTAGAATCATCAAACTCATTTAAGAATCAAAATATTTTTGTAAAAGATTCTCCACTACGGCCAATCGTTGAAAACAATCATATTAATTTTGCTCAGATTCCTCTTGAGAACGATATCAATAAAAATTCAAAACTTTGCAATCCTTTCATAAGGAATCCCGCAAAAGGAGTAAATATACTTCCTCGCGTATCACAAATTGTAACAAACCCTGCTTCAAATCAAAACAATCCCATTACACCGCCATTGGATGCTTTTGCAAAAAAAAAAGACTTCAAAATTCTAGCATCAATAGAATTGAAGATGCCGTTATCAAGTCAGCAGAAGATTTTCATATCATGACAGATCAGATTAGTAATGTTATGAAACTGAAAGCAGATTTCCTGAAAATGCAAATGAAACCGAAACCATCTAACTGTAATGTTCGTGAAGTACAATTGATAGAGGGAGATACAGTTTTTAATCTTTTCAAAGTGAAATGGATGGAACTTACTTTTCAGCAAAAAGATAACATATTTGCAGATGTTTTACAAATTATTGAGGACCACTCTACTGTTTAGTATTTTTTTATGTCTTGAACATTAATGCGACTTTTTTTTAATAAGTGTTTCATTACTTGTTATTGTTTGATTTCAAAAATCTACAATATTTTCGAAAGGGTATGCATGATAATTATCCTTTGTTTTTTATTTTGTTTATATGCACAGTATTTTAGAAAACTTAGGGCCAGCTTCACCAACTCCGATTAAAAGTTAATTAATTATTAATGTCATTTTAACCGCTTATGATTGGTTGGTTAAATATTTAATCATTGATTAACTTTTAATCGGGGTTTGGTGAAACTGACCCTTAAACTGTTTGTTTTAAGTGCTGACCAAAAACATTTCCACTTTTTAATACGAATTAAGGTTCGAAAGTTTAAAAGTATTATTTGTGTTCTAATATTTATTTATCAGTAATTCCCATGTGAAAAATTGTCTGAGGAAATGAACAATATGAAATAGACATGAATGTTATATTATATTTTCCGATTTTGTAACTGTTGTAATATGTACTGTCATATTAATATAAAATTTAATTCGAGATAAGGATATCATTAGAAAAAAGTGATACATAATATTATAGTATACGAGAACATGGCTGTTATTAAACAATATTTAATTATTAATAATTTCTAAACTAAAAGTTAACTAAGAAAATAAATAATATAATATAGACAAGTACACCTGTACATGTTTATATATTATATCTCTCGATTATGTTACTAAAATATTACGTTCTGTTATATTACTATAAAATTTTATTTGAGATGAGAATGACAAATGATATGGTTCACGAGGACATGTCTGTCATTAAATAATATTCAATTATTAATACTTTCTAAGTTAAGAACTGTTTGAAAAAATAAATAATATAAGATAGAAAGTGATACATATTAATAGTACACGAAAACATGACTGTCATTACAAATTATAAATAACTAATAAAGGTTGAAATATTAAAATGTAAATGAATACTTTCTAAACTTTATTGAAGTTACTAATATTTATTTAAACAAATAAACAAATAAATATACTTTCCAACAATGTCCCTATTTTGAATGGATTCTGCAAAAAGAAGTAATTAATAACTATTTTTATATTATATCTCGGTTTTCGCTAAACCGGGAAATGACGGAATTTTGAACTTGAAAAAATATAAATATTTATTTTAAGACTTATTATTTATATTTCATTAAAAAAGATTAAAACACATTCTATAAAATAGTTTGATTTAGTAAGGGAATTTTATCAAAAGTTATCGTGGTATTTCTAATCTTTACAAATAAAATTAGATTTATGTTACTATACTCACACTGCAAAAAAATGGAGTTAAACTCCCCTGGGGATTCACTACAAGTCGTACAAGTTTGTTAGTTAAAGCGAAGGGAGTTGGATGAAAGGTAGTTGAAATTGAAACAGTAAAAATAAAAAGTTATAAAATGAACTTCTTTTTGGAGTTGATTTTTAACTTGAAAATTTCATTTTCAACTCCAGTGACCGACAATTCCATATATTTTTTACATTGCAGTTGGTTTGTCAATTATTATTATTACGATTATACATATGTGGACGTCCACATGATAATCGTAATTTAGTAATTTTAGAGAAAAACCTTAATTTTTTAAAATTTGTTATTATCAATCTAAAAACCGATGCCAAGTTGTATATTTTTTTGTATAATTTTGGTGCTCATTTCATGAACACTTTACTTACTCATAGAGATAAAAATAAATAATAATAAAAAAAGTTGAGAAAAAGTCATTTTCCACAATTTTTGGTTTTTAAAATACCAATAATTTCGAAATTTATTATCGAATTAGGTTCAAAAATAGGTCAATCGAAGCGTTTTTTGAAGCTCTACAAGTCGGTAACGATAATTTTAAGATTACTTTTACATTTTTCAACAAAATTTTCAAAAAAGTCTTATTTTCCAAAATTTTAAATTTTTAAAAGTTTAATATCTCCGGTTAATATGGACGAAAATTGTTCAATTAGGGCTCAAAAGATTCGTCTAAAAAAACTCTACAAAATTGTGGAAAAACATTTATAGGTGTCCTAACATTTTTTTAAAGTTATGGACAAAAAACGTTTTTTTGCAAAATCAAAAATCCTAAAAAAATTTAGTTAAACTTTATTAATCTATCTCAAAGTACTCTCATTTTATGTCCGCAGGTGAGATCTACAATTTTAAAAAAAATTCAACCCAAAAGCTCTTCATGATTTCGAGATATTTCTGAAAATGTGATGTTTACACACACACACACACACACACACACACGGAATGACATTTTTTAAAAATGTCATTTTTGAACTCCTGAGGTCAAATAACATAAAGATATGTCAAAAAATCGAACTCGAAAAATTTCGGTATTACAATACTTCCTCTATGAGGAAGTAATATTTTGACTTTGACAAGTCAAATGAATTTATCGTTATAATATAAGTGTTTGATTTCATTGGTTCTTTAGAAAAAAGAAAAGGGTCCATTTTGTATTCAAAAATACCCTTTTTTGAAAAGGCTCCAAAAGTATTCCCTATTTTCGAAATGGAGTGAAAAAAATTTTTAAACCTCTTGATTTTTTTATCTTCAAGGTGCCCTGGATTGGAAACAATTCTTATCTGAATAACTTTCCAGAAAAATTAGAGATATTAATATTATAGTCTCTATTTTTGTGGTCGTCTAAATTAAAAACTTCGAAAAAATGAAAATTTCGATATTTCGTCAAATTATTCATAATAGAAACTGTTAGAAACTTTTAAATACCTAATTAAAATTTCTATTCTTTTCCTTCAAATGAAACAAAAAAAAATGTACCCAATCATTAACCTTGTCAAAAAATAGTTTATGAAAAAACTGTCCTTTTTAAAATAGGGCCCATTTTGTCGGTTCTTTCAAAAGTTTTTCATATTTTCAAAATGAAGGGGGGGGGGGAATTTAAAACCTTTTGGTTTTTCATCTCTAAGGTGCCCTGGACCGAAAACAATTATTATCTGAATAACTTTCCAGAAGAACAAAAAATTTTTTTTTAATTAAAAATGTTTCCACCCTGTATATGTTGAATACATTTTATTATTTTCTAACAAAAGTAAAATTATTTAAACTTTTTCATTTGACGAGTGACAAAGATCAATAAACGTCTTTTTAATCTCATAAAAATAATAAAAGTAATAAAACTTTTTTTTAAGATTAAAAATAATGGTATTTTAAAAAAATTTATTATAAAGTTGGATGATACTAGAAATAATTATTAACATTTTATTACATTTTATTTGAGGAATGAATTAAACCTTCCTCGGAAATATTTTTTTTTTTATAAATACATATTCTATAAAATTTTAATTTGACAGGAAATCAAATATTTTTTTACTAAATGACTTTTTATAGAAGATAATCATAAAAATTACTGGAATGCGTATTTTAACTGACATGTATGAAACAATAATTACAGATATTATTATTTTTATTATTGAAAATAAAAAATGTCAGTTTTAATCATTTAAATAATTTGTCCTTCTTTGGAGTTAAAGTAGTAAGTCAATTTCTCTCTAATGTCTATAACATTTTCTGGAAATATTTCATGAAAATGAGGTAAATGTTCTGCATTTCTAACAATTTCAGTAGGTGCGTTGTTTCTTCTGTCAGTATCACATTGTCTTATTTCTTCCGTGATGATGAAATTGTGTAAGCACAATGAAGCTTTTACAATACTTTCTGCCGTTTCCAAATCACAATCTAAACGCTGATTTAAAATTTGACACGTTGCGACGAGCGTTCCGAAACTGTCTTCGATAACGTTTCTGCCTCGTGACAATCTGTATTACATAAAAATTTAAAAAATGAATATTCTTCAAATGATGTTATTTGAAAAAGAAATGAAATAGAGTAGAGTAGTCAGGCGATGTCAAAGTCGATCATCGTATATAACGTCTTTTTCTTAAAATAACAAATAAAAACTTTTTCAACCCTTTCGTGCCCCCGGGAAACAGAGCCAGTGGATTTTATTGAAACTTGTTACTCGGAGGGTTTTTGGGGTTGCTGATTACGAATCTGAAGTAAAATTTCCAAATTTGAAAATGGCAATCCTGAAAAACCCCGAGTAACAAGTTTCAATCGAATATAAGTAATTTTGAAAAAAATGTTCACCAACAAGAATTTTAAAAATTTTGAAAATCTGACTTTAGATTCGTAGTATCGATTCCACAAACCCCTAAGTAAGAAGTTTTAAGCGAATTTGAGCAAATTTTGAAAAATTAAATTTTGTTATTTTTTTAACAATATTCTACCTATCGTTTATAATCATTATTATTGTACTATGCAATTTCTTTCCTATACATAACGTTGGTGATTAAAAAAAACTATATTATTTGTTAGCAGGTTTAAAATGACAAAAGTTTTATTAAATTTTGTAAAAGTGCTGCACATTTGTGTACCGGATGCGCGAAAGGGTTAACCCCTTAACTGTTTTAGGAAAATACAACATGATTGTCCTAAAATGACCAGCGGAATCTGATACTTTTTCAAATAGTATAATATATTTAAGTTATAACTAATTATTTAATTATTGTATAAAATATCATTAATTACCCTTATAATGTCTTATAATATTGATACATAAAGAAAAATATCTAACAATTTATATGCAAATTATATTTATTTTGAGTAAAAATGAACACGACCCACGGGTGGGTCGGAAACAGTGGCCAAAGTTTTTCACGACCCATCCGTGAGTCGGAAACAGGCAATTGGTTAAATAAAATATCTATGAAAATACTATTTCAATATTAAATAGTGATAAATCACATTGAAAATATTTGATGAAATGCAATCATTTTATAAAAAAATTATAAAAACAACTCAAGTCTAACACTGATCCTAATTTCGGACATCAGTTCAACATTAAGAATTTACATATGTCAAAAAAAAAAAATTTATTATTTTTTGATAAGAAATTAATTTAAATGATTCATCAGAACACATTTATTTTTTTTTTTTTAATATGAAACAAAATAATTTTTATAAAGTATAAGTCTTACAAATTCTTTAAATATATTTTATAAAGGAATTCGTTTTAAAGAGTATTTTTTTTACAAATAAACACAAAAAGTGTCCAACTATAATAAATTTTCGAAATAATCCACGTTTACCTTAAAAGTTTTGAAACTCACCTATAATTAAAAACCTTCTGTCTTTCTGTAAGAACATTTTGTCTTGCAAAAGGTTTAATTAAATACTCTGATGTAGGGAAAATTTCGTCTCCTATAAAAAAGTGAGGCAACTGAATGTTGGTTCTTGGTAAAGTACTGGCACCTGGGATATTAGCATTCTCAGTTTCTAGAGCTCGAAATAGACTGGTGTTACGAAAAGCTGATAAATCGCTAGCTGATCCTAAAAAATTGTTTTTTTTGTGTTTTATATTTAAAAACTACTTTCTCAAACAAAATTCTTTTTACAGCAGGAAAATATTAATGTTTACGAAAAATAACTCGGTTCGGTTCGAATTTTGTAGTAACTCGAATGTCGAATATTCGACATTCGAACTAGGCGAAAAAATTCGAACAGTTCGGTTCGAATTATTTTGCACAGCTCTAATTATAACCCTTTCTGAGTTTAATTATTTTCTACAATTTTCAAATAAACTTCAACTCTGAATCAATTAATATAGATAATTTTCCAAAAGTTCTTCTAGAATTTAGTTATTTAAATACATAAACTCTCTTTTTTATAATAATTGTGACTTTCCATAGTTTTTCCTTAAGTTACTAAGGTATAATATTTTCAAAAAATTATAATAAAGAAATTCTTACAATTAATTTTTTAAAAAATTTCCAAGCAATTGAAATTTGGTAAAATCTTTTAAAAATAATTAAATTTTAAAAAATTGTAAATAAAAATGATCAAATTTTTGAAGAATTTTAATTATAAATAGGACCACGATTTCTCAAAAAATTTAATAAGTCCAAAAAGTAAATTTAGCATCATGATTACAAAACAATTCTAATAGGAAATTAGTTTCTAAAAATATTTTATGAATTTAATTTTTCGAAAATAATCTTAAAAGAATTTTTGAACAATTTAAAAAAACTAATGAATTTTCTTTATGAATTTTAATTAAATATTGTAAATATTATTGTTTCTTCCAAAATGCTAAAAATAATTCTAAAATGTTATTATTTTTGGAAATATGTAATTGAAAATATTAAAAACATTTAATTTAAAAAAATTAGAAGCTTATTTTCAATTTTAAATTTACAGTTAAAAATTTTTAATTAAAATGTTTGATAGTTCAATTATTTTCAAAATTTGCAATTCATATTATTGAAAAGTTGATTTTCGGAAATTGTAACAAAATACTTGGAATAAATTAATTATTTTCAATTAAGTTTTACAAAATTTTAATTATTCAAAAACAATTTTTAAAAGATTTGTTTACACTTATTTTTTGCATTATAAAAATCAAAATAAGTTGCACTTTTTTACTAAAAATTGTGGCATTTTGTTGCAATGTTTGGAAGAAAAGTTGAAAAAGTCTAAATTTTCTTAGTTTCCTCGACAAAAAATTTTTTTCATGACATTTACCTGATTTAACTGACAAAAATTTTGTTTTAATGTGTTATAGAAAATTTATTATTTATCACTCGAAATCATGAGAAAATCATGGAAATTTATAAGAAGAAATTTGTAGAAACTCTGTTAAAATAATGTACTGAAATTATTTTTTTTTTGAAAATTCATTCAATTTCAATTTTAAATAATTTAAAAGAATTCAAAAGTTAAGCTAAAATTATAAAAAATTAAATAATTCTACATAAATTTTTCCCAAAAAAAGCTCTCTTTGTAATGTTTTAGAAAAGTTCAATTATGTAAAGTTTCAAATGATGTTTATAAATATTTTTAGAAAAAGTTCAATTATAGAATAATAACTTACCATATTCGCCAATATCAACCCATGTGAAACGGTAGTAAGCATCACAAATAGCGAGTAACTTGAAGCTATAGAACTTCTTATAATTATAAAAAAGACTTCCTGAATTAGGAGGAGCCTTTATTCGAATTTCTTTACCATCTATAGCACCGATACAGTTCGGAAAATTCCATCGCACTCGAAAACCTTGAGCTACAATTTTCCATTCAGCTGGTGTCTTCCAACGTAAATATCTTTTTGAAAGTAGATTCCACATTTTTTTACATACTTCATTCACTATTTTATAGGTAGTGCTTAAGCCAACACGAAAAAAGTTGGACAGCGTTCGGTTGCTATCTCCGTGCGCCAAGTAACTAATAAATAAATAGCACATATTAAACAAAAAAGTTTACAAGAATAACGAATTTTAAATAATGAAACAGTAACAGATAGCAAATAATAACCGATAAAGGGTTTGAAAGGGTGACTTTATATGTTAAAATTGAATGTTATTTTCAGATAAAGTATATTTTAAACCATTTTTATGGTATTCTATGCTTTTTCACATTTTCCTCGATTATTCAGAAAATTTTTCAATCAAATATATATATATTAGAAAATAGAAACTTCAAATAACTTAAAAAAAATTTCAATTCAACTTTTACAAAAAAATTAAATCTACACAATTTTAAGTTAAAAGTATAAAAAATTCAAACATTCAAAGATTATAATGCGAAACCTTTTCAAAACTCAATTATTATCTAAAGTTTTAACTAAAATTCATATTTCAATCAATTATTATTAGAAAATTCTACGAGAATTCAATTATTTAAATACAAAAAAAATAATTTATTGAAGAATTGAATGTTTTTTAAAATTCAACTCTCATTTAAAGAATTTTATCAACAAATTTTTAAATAGGTAATTAAAATTCTTTTGACGAATTTCAATAACATTTCTAAGAAAAATTTCATTTTTCGAGAAATTAGATTAAAAATGTACTAAAAATAATTAAATTTCTGAAAAAAAAATTTCATTGAACTGAAAAAAGTTTTTGAAAATAATTGAAATTTTTTTAAGAATTTTATTAAAAATTTTTTAAATAATTGAAATATTGCCAAAAAATTTAATAAAATTTTTGAAAATAATTGAATTTTAGAGAAAAATTTTAATATTTATAAAAATAATTGAAATTATGACTATAACTGTTTTTAAACTTTTGACCATAATTGAATTTCTGCTAAGAATTTTATTACTTTTGAAAATAATTGAATTCTTGAGACGAATTTTTTAATAATATTTCTTTTTTAATACCTAATTATTTTTAATACAAAAATAAATAATATATTGAATAATTAAATGTTTTGCAAAATTGTATTATTCTCATAATGAATTTTATTAACAAATTTTTAAATAATTGAATTCTTTTGACGAATTTTAATGAAATTTTAAGTATAATTACATTTTTCGAGGAATTCAATTAAAATTGTATAAAAATAATTAAAATTCTGCAATGAGTTTTATTATTTATGAAAATAATAATTGAATCCCTGTAAAAAATTGTATTACATATTTATAAAAATAAATGAATCTCTGTAAACATAAACTGAATATTTTTGAAAGTAATAGAATTATTGCAAAGATATTTATAAAAAATTTTTTAAATAATTCATTTCTTTTGAAAATAATTATTATTATATTATTATTATAATTACTTTAGTGTTATTGCCAATCTCACTTCGGTTGACAATGGACGCCTACGACTCCTTTTCACTAGACTGGGTCCAACGATATCGTGAAGTTTTTTGAAGCCGTCTACAGATAACCTGCACATTTCCTTAAATAGTTCTTGATCGGAATTTGCGTAGTATAAAAACAAACATTCATAAGCACCATAATTATCTCTTAAATAATTTGTGATGTGTGGTCTTACATGCCACCGTCGATTAGATTGATTTTGATGAGAATAAATTAATAGTAGGCACCGCTGCAATAATTGTAACCATTGAAAAGCTATTAGAATAGTATAGTATGTAATTAACATTTTTCACTTTAATAATGTCGCAATCTGCAAAGAAGATAAATGACGTTTCAATTACTTTATTATATGATATTATATGATTATAAGAATATAAACATTGCTTGATAAAATATAAAAAAAAACTTAATATAAATATGTAACAGGTATAACAGGTGATAATAAGATAACCTATAAATTACATTATCTGTAATAATTTATTATTTTATTTATTATGTAAACAAACTTACCCAAGGAGTCAATGAAAAAAAGGAATCTCAAAGGAAAATACAAATTATTGTTTACAAATTATTGTCACAAATTATTGTTTACAAATTATTGTCACAAATTATTGTTTACACTACACCAATGAACGCAGTGAACAATTGCATATTTTAATCCCACAGTGTATATATTCATAGAGAATCATAGAAACATCGGAACGCGAAACGATGATATTTAGTTTGTGCGCGCGCATCATTTTGACAGTGCATTTTGTTTGTGTCGATCTAAAGAAAGTTGTTGTAGAAACTCCTTTAGAGTACGCAGTAGAACCAACGTTATATTGCCACACACAACCTCCAAATGTACCGCAGTGTTCCCTCTTTTCTCTCAGTGTAGTATTAACTTAATTTTTAAAAAAATTAGAGTGCGATTAATAATTAATATTAATTAGTACTAAAATTATTTAATATTATTACATTAAATAATCTCAACACTTATTCTTTTATTAAAAATAAATACTAACTGTAATATTAAAAATAATGTAACACTACGTAAATAATATAATTAAAAGCATCCATACAATACCTAAGGGTACGCGGACGAGCGCGCGGTCGCAAGATATAACGCCATCCCCTTATTATATTCTGAGTTTATGGGTTATTGAAAAGGCTTTGTCTGTTTTTACTATAAAGTCTCTTAAACAATTATATAATAATAATCCAGATATTTTGTCCTCACTTGGAGTTAGTGTTTTTTAATACTAAATTGTTTTGAAGTTCGAATTGTTGTATTAAAAGTTTGACACTTAATTTGTAAATAATAAAAGAAGAAAAGTAAGAAAATTTAATCCAAAATAAAAGGAAAAATAATATTATTTAAAAACCTTGAATTGTCTATTAATTTTGTTTTTCAATTAGAAAATTTCAGAAACAAAATAATGATGTAGGGGAGATTCGGGTAGCCCCGGACACTTAAGTTTTTAGAAAATTCAAGTTTTTTAATAAAAGAAAATGAAAAAACTGAGTCAATATTTCAAAAATAAAAGTTAAACTGTATTATATATCATTTGTAATTTATTTCAACAGTAAAAACACATTATTCTATTAGAAATTAAAAGTGTAACGGGGCTACCCACTGTTTTAAATTGAAATCTTGAAAATTTTAATTAATGTAAAAGTATATCATTATCTAAATATAAAAATTTATAAATTTCTTAATTTTCCTAAAAATTAAAAGTTTTGAATAATATTATTCAAACCTTCTAAAAAATAATTAAATTTTGGAACAACTGCAGTTCAAATTTTTATTAATAATTAAGTTTTTAAATATTTGTAGTTATGCTAGTTTGTATAAATTAATTGTCTTTTCATTTTATTAAATCCTGAAATCATTTTTCATGTTCTGTCAATTCTTGGAAAGTTTTTTATTTTTTTATGTGAATAAAAAAAATTTTAGACGATTTTTCTTAAAAGACCTTTAAAAAAAGAGACTGTAAGACAGGTCAATAGTCTTCATGTTACAATAACTTAAATACTTAGCCGCTCGCTAAAACAGATGTGCACCAAACCTTTTTCTTATTGTACATTTTCTATAGGAAAGAAAGCAATAAAAATTTCAAGTCGTTTTCTTAAATTCGAAACCTGAAAATTTTTTTTAGTATATAAATATTTCTTTTACTTAAGAAATATATAACAGATACAGAAAACGTGTAGCTTTTTGAACTTTTATTTTCTTTTATATTATTTTTACACTGATTATTGTAAACAACTTCAAGTTATTTTAGTTTAAGTAATTTTTAAAGAAATAATTTTTATTATGACACATAACTCAAAAACTAATTACAATTAAATGTTTAATTTATATTATTTCCAAACTTTAAAGTATATAAAAAAACTTTAACAAATTTTTATTCTAATTTCAAATTTGATATCAGATTCTCTAAATTGAAAATAATTAAACTTTCTTGTAAGAGGAAGATTGGATAAATAAATAATCTTCTTTACGAAAATTTTAATTATTCTGAAGAATAGAGAAGGTAAAAAAATTATTAGGTATATATTCAACTTTTTGAACAAAGAATATAAATAATAATTCTTTAGAGAATGTTCACTACCTACTTTAAATTCGCTAATACTAGAAATCAAAAAACTATTCTCAAAAATTATAATAATCAAATTATTTATTATTTCTATTTTTAATCTTATTTTTGGAGCAGGATTTTCCACAGGAATTAACTCATTCAAAAGTTTTAAATTCAAACCTTCTTGAAATGAAACACCTTATAAATATTTTTATAAAATATGAAGATATCGATTTCTCCATGATCCATCCATTTCTTCATGATGTTTTCTAATAATTAAAGATAACCGAGAGGTAAAATCATTATTTTAAATTATAAGAATATTATTGTTACTGTAACTTCATTAAAATTATTTTCATCATTTTAATTCAATCATTATTTTCGAGAATTTTAAATTATTTTTTATGGATGTAATTGAATTCCTTAAAAAAAATTTATTATTAATGAAAATAATTGAATTCCTGTGAAATTTTAATTATTTGTGAAAATAATTAAATGTTTGCATACAATTTTATTAAAATTTTTTTCAATAATTGAATTCTTTTTGAGAAATTTTATTAAAATAGTAGACATTGAAGATAATTAAAAAAAAATTATTGAAAATAATTGAAATTAGGACAAGAATTTTTTTTTACATTTATGAAAATAATTGAACTTTGGAGAAGAATTTTGTTATTTATAAAGATATTTGGGATTTTGTCGAGAATTTTTTTCAAATTTGGAACATAGTTGAATTTTATAAAAAGAATTTTTTTTTGAAAATAATTGAATTTCTGCAATTATTTGTAACTTTTCCAAAATTGTTTTTTAGTGTTTTCAATAAAAATTTAAATTAGAAAAATTTTTAATTCTATTATTTTTAAAACTTCCAATTTTCTTTAAAAAAGGTATCTAGAAGTTAGCTATTGTTGCTAGTAATTCAATTATTCTTTTTTTTAAATATGAAAATTATTCCTAAGAATTCAATTATTTTGAGTATTTAAATTTTTTTTATAAAATTCTTCGCAAGAAGAAATATTATTTATATTCTTTTATGAATAATAAAATTCGTTGCAGAAATTCAAATTATTAGCAGGATATAAGAAAAAAGTAAACATTTTTGATGAACATTAGGAAAAAGTTGGGTAAATAAAAAATATGGAATGGAATTTTTGTCTATTTTGTGAATATCTAAAACGAGTTTCTTTGGTAGTCAAGTTTGATTTTTCGATAACTACTTTTTGACAACTTTTTTTAGTTTATTTCAAGTTTTTTAAAATTAATTTATTTTGAGGATATAAATTTATATTATTTAAAAATATATAGAATATTAATTAAATTTCACAGAAATGAAGAAAAGTAAATTTTGTATTTTTAATAATTAGATATTTTACTTACAATTTTGTAGGTTAGAAATTATACAAATTTATACATTATGAAAATCACCTAACATAATAAACAATTTCCAGAAAATGAGTGCAGTGTTAAAACTGCTATGGCGTCAACAAATAGCAGTAAGAGAATGAAATTTCCTAAAAATATGGACTCTCCTTCTTCTGACACGGATTCCGAAGTAGAAAAAAGAAAAGCTATTAAACGCAAGGTGTGAACAGAAACAAACATTTATTTCTATTTTTAAATATTATTACAGAAACAAACATTTATTTCTATTTTTAAATATTATTATTATTGTTCAGAAAATGTGTAAAGGTACTCGCACACCTCGGCTGTCTGTCTGCCTGCGCAGGCAGAAGATCGTTCACACCTCACTTTTCCCGTTGAAAAATGAGGGAAGATTTGAATATCTATTAAAATTCAAATCTTCCCTCATTTTTTAACGGGAAAAGTGAGGTGTGAACGATCTTCTGCCTGCGCAGGCAGACAGACAGCCGAGGTGTGCGAGTACCTTTAATTATTTATTCCCAAATAGCACATTACCTTATGGTAAGATTACTGTAACCTTGCCGTGCAATTTTAGGAAGATTGCAGTGCAAGGTTAAAATGTCCTATACCTGTTACTACAATTTTCAAATTTTTTTTAAATTTATGTGCGTATTGAGCAATAAAAATTATAAAAAATGGTTTAAAAAACTTAGAAATTTTTTGTTTTTCAAAATTAACAGCAATCTTTTTGTAATCTTGCGGCAACCTTATAGTAACGTTATGTCAATCTTTCAATAATCTTGCATCAAGCTTACCGAGTAATATATGGCAAGCTTACGGCAACATTACAGTGTAACCTTACGAAAGGTGGGACATTTTAACCTTATATAACCTTACGGGCAATCTTCCTAACATTGCGCTGCAAGGTTACGGTAGTAATCTTATTTATCTAGGATTTTAAAACTTTTTATTTCTATAATTCGTTTTTAAAAATTTTTTTATTTGAATAATAAATTGCGAATTTTTTAAAAATATTAATTTTTCTTTTTTTGCATTTTATTTTACCCTTTTAACAATTTTATATTAATGTAAAAATGAAAATTATTGTTCTATAAAATTATAAATATTTTCTTTATTTCATGAAATGAACAGGCCAATTGTATGAGTGACATAAAAAAAAATATTTTGGAAGCAAAATTGTCAAAAATAGTTACTTCTGTAAGTAAACCTACCATAACATTTACAAAACCAAAAATACTTGAGGCTCAACCTCAAAAAGCAATGTCAAAACATCATGATATAGGGAATGAACAATCTGTAAGTTACATTTTCTCTTAAAATAATACTAAAAAATTAAAACTCTTTAAAATATTTTAATTAAATCTAGTACTCATTATTTTTTTGCATACGTAATCCGGATTACGGAAAAAAATGACATGAAAAAAATGACACTCATGAGTGTCGTATTTTGAGTGTGGTTATTTCGCTACCACACTCAAAAAAAGACACTCAAAAAACGACATGGAAAATGATACTTGATAAACATCGCTTCAAAAATTATAATTCTAATCAATAATAATAATAATATGGCTGATTTAACAAATTAAAATTATTTGCATCGAGTGCAAAAACAGGAGAGATAACGAACAGAATAAAATTCCGCGAATATTCGTAAGAATGCTGCCTCCTTATATACTTTTCAAGTTTCGTGTTAGTTGCGAGAGAGTTTGAAACAACACCTCCTACGGAGCTTTGAGCGAACTACGTAAATTGTTCACTCTTTACGTAGTTCGCTCAAAGCTCCGTAGGAGGTGTTGTTTCAAACTCTCTCGCAACTAACACGAAACTTAAAAAGTATATAAGGAGGCAGCATTCTTACGAATATTCGCGGAATATTATTCTATTCGTTATCTCTCCTGTTTTTGCACTCGATGCAAATAATTTTAATTTGTTAAATCAGACATATTATTATTATTATTATTATTATTATTATTGATTAGAATTATAATTTTTGAAGCGATGTTTATCAAGTATCATTTTCCATGTCGTTTTTTGAGTGTCATTTTTTGAGTGTGGTAGCGAAATAACCACACTCAAAATACGACACTCATGAGTGTCATTTTTTTCATGTCATTTTTTTCCGTAAGGGCCTTTTCGCTTTTGCCAAAAAAATCTATCTAAACTATTTATTTTTTAGGAAAGCTTAGATGTAGATGGTACTTCTCAAAATGTAAATTTCAGATCATGTAAGAAATCAGATAAAGAAAACGCTTTGAATTTTTTAAATAATATTCGACGTGATACTCCTTCAACACATGAAGCTGCCAACAATTTTAAAAATCTAATAAGGTAATATACATTTATTTCAGTAGTAAATAGTTCTATTAAATTATCTTTTTTGGTTCATTTTCACAGCTTAGCTATGCCTGTCTGCGGGCTAGAAGGGTGCATGGATGTGAGAAAGAAAAATTTCAATTTGAGTTCTCTATCTCGCTCACACTCATTCGACCATCTTATATATATATATATATAACACTGTAATGTATGACACTATAATATATGACTATTTTTTGCAGGAATGTCAAAATAATGATATAAACAAACTGAAACGTATATTGAAGGAAAAAGAGATAGAATTGAAAAAATGTAAAAATGAAATAATAAAAATAAAGCAACAACTAAAGGATGAGATTAATCAGAAAAATGATTTACTTATATTAAATATGGAACTGCAAAGAACGGTCATAGGACAATTTTCAAATTTAAATTGTGAATATCTCCACATATAACTATTATAATTACTTTATTATTAAAAATTATACTCAATTTTTCAAATTTTATTAATTAAAAAAATTTTACAGCAAATCTAAAAGAACTGACGTCTGAGGTTGTAGAAGCAGCAAATATGACTGGAAAGGAATGCGCGGACAGAATTGGTTCCATTAAAGAGAATGAGGTAAAAATAATCAAATTTATCTGAATTGTTTTATTTACTTACAATTTAATTATGTGTATATATTTATACAGATACATCTTGGTCGAAACGTGTGGATAAAAAAATGGTCTATGACGCAATCAAGGGGAAGTCCCGGATAACACCAGCTCTATTTGTTAAGGAAATGGCATTGGCTGTCTTTGGAGCAAACACACTTTTAGTTAGCACAATAACTGGCAATACTTCAAACCGATCAAAAAGTAAAAAGATCACTAATGCAGAACAGGAAATTTTGAAATTAGATCCAGTTAAATTGATGGCTATTAGAGGTTCGTACTAATAAATTCCAAGATGCTTACTTAATCATCTTGATAACAAGGGAATTAACCCAGCAAACACTGTTACAGATCTGTTACAGAACTGTGACAAATAATTGAAGAACATGTGATGTAACTGGTGACTCACAGGGGACTCACTGGGTACGCAAAATGTCGTAGTCAGAAGGTTGTCACAGTTAAGTAACAGATCTGTAACATGGTGACGAAGATACTTGTCACAGTTCTAGAACAGTTACAAATTTCTGTTACTCATATCTGTCATTAAAAAATATTTTAATTAAAATTAAAAAAATATTCCACGCTGTTCTCGCATGTCATACATACCCGGAATATTTATACATGTCGAAGAAAATTTGTTTTGCTATTTATTTAAATATTTACAACCACGAGGTCTCGAACGCAAGACGCAGCTAGGAGTGGATTATAAATCAACCGCTCTACCAACTGCGCCACGGAGGCTCATGAAAGGAAGTTTAGAATTTACATATATAACGAAGGAACTATGAAAATGTGCTTTGTAACTTGAAAAAGGATACTGTATTTGCAACAATAGTATAATTATGTTATGTATAATATACATTATATTTAATAATGTTAATTGAAAAATGTAAATTTTCAAAGTTACAAGCATAAGGAAAGGCTTAAAAATTACTTTTTAAATGAAAGATTAAAGCAATAAATTTAAGCTTAATTAATGAAATTTCTACATTTTTATAACAAATTTATATTCTATAATTTTTCATTTAAATATAAATAGATTTTACAAAATTCTTTGTGAAATTAATTTATCAAAAAAATTTGCTATTACGAATAATAATAATGTCAAACAATTAACGAATAATTACATTCTCGATTACATTACATGCACCTTTAAAACATTTATGAGACTTTTATACATAATAATATTGTTTAAATAGTCACTAGAAGAATAATAAAACTGAAGAAAATTTAAAGATAGAGTAAAAAATGCTACTGATAGTAGTATAAAAGAAATAAGAAAGCAATTTGTTGTCAATAATTACTATATGAGTGATTCTCCACAAAGTGGTAACTTTTGAATATGTTAAAATTTTCTTTTTTAATTAAATTTTTTGGAAATTTTTTATTTAGATCTTTTTAATAAAGCTTGAAAATGATTATTTTATAGATATTTGAGTTTATAATTCTTTCTTTAGTTTTATATACAAACAATTTAAAAATTTGTAATTTAAAGGTTAAATAATTTATTTGAAAAAGTTAATTTTCGACTGTGAATAATTATAAATAGTGTAAATAAGCAAATAATTACTTTAAACTGCTTTAATAAATAAATAAATAATATTTTTACTCATACCTGTTATTGAAATTTCTTGTTTTGATACAGGTTAATCGAGGTTAATAATATTTTTTCAAGAAAACAAAACACTTCCATTACGCGAAACGAAATTAGGAACTGGAGTTTACAAATCAAAGAAAAAAATTCATTGAAACCGTAAAAATTCATAAAAATAAACAATTTTTGCAGATTATTAAAGAGATTTGCTTACTCTAAATCACTATTATTTTTATTTTTTTTTATACATTTAGAATTCGGCAATTTTGTCGGGTATGGAGTTACATACCATTAAAATACGCTATAAAATAATAGTAACTTTTGTAGTTTTAAATCTAAAAATTATATTTCTTTTTGCAAATTTAACATAAATACAACTTATTTACTTAATAATATTAATGGCAAATAAAATCGCACTGAAAAAGGGAATAAAATTAATGAAAATCAATGAAATTGTAAACTCCAGTTCTAAATAAAAAAAGATTGGGGAAAATATTAAAAAAATATTTTTACACAGATTTTTTAATGGAAATTAGAAAACGACACACTAAAACTTAGTTTTTGAAATGAACTTTCGAATAGAATAAATAAAAAAACGTTTAAAATAAAGTTTGTGCAAAATAAAACATATTAAACTTCATGATTCATGTGTGGAGAAACGACAAATGTGCATTTTTTGAACATTTGCAATTGAATTACAACTTTTGTTTTAATTAAAAAAATTTTTTCGATTATGATATTACTAAAAAACATATTGAAGATTAATTATGCAAAAGTTTGAAGTAGATTAGATAACAATTTTTCAAGTTATTAAATAGGAAACAGAGGGGAAGCAAAAGTGACCACTTAATGAAGAATCACCCATATAGGTATTTTTTATAAATTATTACGAATTATATTATATTATATTAAAAATAATATGAACTACACCAAATTTGTTAGAAGAGTTTAACATTGTTCGGACAATGTTAAACTGTATATTACAGAACTGCATTGCAACAGATGTTTAGACCAATTACACAACAATGTTCATACACAGTTATAGAACAAGGTTGGAACAACAGTTACAGAAAATTTGCGACATTAAAGTTATGTAACTCTTACATCACATTGTGATAGAACTGTAACATAAGCATAATACAGAACTATTCTGTAACTAACTTGTAACTATGTTCTAGAACTCTGTTACAATCAGGTTCTATCACAGATCTATAACTAGTTAGGAACAAATGTTCTATAACACTGTAACCTCACTGTTATAGAATACTTATATAACGTGTTTGCTTGGAAAGTAAATGTAGCATTATAAAAATTTGCCAATGATTGATTTTCAAGGTATTAAAATTAAAATATTTTTAGATATAACGTTTCACTGGATGACAATAGAATTAAAGAAAGATGCATCTGCAGCAGAAATGGAAAGATTGAAAGTTAGTAAATATATTTCACATAAATTAAGTGAATTAAAACGAACTATTAACAAAACCCAAGGATCTGTTGATATTGCAGGTGTGTATATTTTGCTTATTTTCATTATTAAATTAAATCGAGTAATGTGTATATGCATTTACATTTTATTTAATATTTACATCAAATGTGTTTCAAATATAAAAATGTGAAAATTGTGTTTCAGATAATGATACAGCTGAAAAAGAAGTAAACGGAAACAATGTTACTAATACCCATATAGGAACTGATGTGATAACTGATGAGATAACCAGCGAGATAACTGATGAGATAACCAACGAGATAACTGATAAGATAACTGAGACAGATGATAATTACAGTTATATTGACAGCGACGATGAATATCAAAGTAGTAGTGAAGCTGACAGAAACATTGAAAATGGCAGTGATAAAGATAATAAAGATAACAACAGCGATATCTTCAGTGTCGCTGACGATAATGATTTGATCAGCAGAAACGAATTTAACATTAATGAAAATAACGTCGATCCCCTTTTTATTGATCCTGTAAATATGGACAGCAATATTTTTTAATATACAGTTAGTTTTATAAAACATTTATTATAAAAATGGTTACCCTTTGCCAATCTAGAGTAAATCACAAGTATTATTATCTATTTATTAATCATTATAATTTACACGAGACACGATTAAACATTTACAAATGTATTTTGTACTAATTTTTAAGGCTAATATTATAATTTTACTAGGAAATCAACTAAAATTGGAAAAACTGAATTTTTTATAATGGACTAAAGAAAGTTAATAAATAACATTGTTGATGCTTTTAAATAAATACAAAAATAATAAATATTTTAAATAAACTTATTGATTGTACCTAAACATAATTGTAAAATCATTATAATATATGTATGTATAAAAAAATTTTTTAGTCAAACATAATTATTGAGTGTGATAAAATTTCTGATATTCTGTAATAAAAATTCTATTAGAGATTCAAACTGGACTTTAAAAAATATATATATTAATTTTTGACTAGCAAATTTATATTTGTATATAAATATATTCAATTTGATAAACTTGTTATAAAAATATTGGATAAAACTTTCTAGATATTACTTCAAATTACTAATTTTGAAAAGATTAAATGGCATAATAATTTCTTTCTATTGAATTAAATGAATAATAAGTATTTATTTTGATAGACTTTGTATTCAATACAACCCGTGTAGAAATTGCCATGTTATGGCCTACACAATGATCAAAAGATCTGGCCCCGATTTGGGCCATGGTTAAATTTCTACACGGAAATTGATAGAATCGTATTCAATATGCCCAAATTTGCGGATTCAAACACGGATTGGGAAGTATAGAAACTTCTCTCTTCCAAATCCAATCAAATACAAGTATTCAATTTGATAGAATTTTATTCCAAAATAATTGATTGAATCTTATTAAATAATCCCACATTTGCGGATTCAAATACGGATTGGGAAGTATAGAAACTTCTCTCTTCCAAATCCAATCAAATACAAGTATTCAATTTGATAGACTTTCTTTCCAAAACAATTGATTGAATCGTATTCAATATGCCCACATTTGCGGATTCAAGTACGGATTGCAAAGTATAGAAACTTCTCTCTTCTAAATCGAATCAAATACAAGTATTCAATTTGATAGACTTTCTATCCAAAATGATTGATAAAATCTTATTCAATATGCCCACATTTGCGGATTCAAAAAACGGATAGTAAATTATAGAAAATTCTTTCTATCAAATCCAATCAAATACAAGTATTCATTTTGATAGGCTTTCTATCCAATACAATTGATAGAATATTATTCAATATGACCAAATCTGCGGATTCAGAAAACGGATTGCAAAGTATAGAAATTTTTTTCTATCAAATTCTATCAAATTTTTTAAGCAGGGGCAGCCATATTTGATGCGCATTACGAACTGCGCATACTACTGACACTCGCGAGTTCACGATTTTTTCGTGAACTTGTACCTCTACTTTTGACGAACTACTCTTCATTAACAGTTCATCAAAAATTCATTAACTTTGTTTCAGTTTTTCGTTGACGTTCGCCATTTCTAATCAAAAGTGAATGAAAATTTTGAAATTTTGTGTCCCATCCAAAAGTGATATACTAGTTCACGAGAGATTCGTGAACTTTTTTTTCCGTGTAATGAAGCTAAATGCCATAAAAGAGAGGAAAAAATGTTGAATTTTAAGAAATTCGGATTTTTGAATTTTTGATAATTTTCGATAATTTTAGATTTTTTACCAAAGAGTCGAGACTATTAAATAAGTAAAGTTTTTTCCAAGAGCCCAAAAATAATGAAGCTAGGCTTCGAAGTGACACACTTTTCCACTTTTTTTGGTCAAGCCTACTTTTTGCTACTTATTTTGTCAAAAAGCTACTAAATGCTACTTTTTTCCAAAAAAGGTAAAAAAAATTTACAGAATTCAAGAATTTTAGTTTTTTTGGTGAATTTCGTAGATTTTAAAAAAACCCGCCAAGTGAATTAAATTTATTTTTGGACGCGTGATTATAATATATTATAATAATTACTAATAGTGGATGTTTATTAAATTACAACTTTTTAACGTTTTGAATTTTTCGTATCTAATTTTATTATTCTTTAAGCTTCTTAAAAAAATTAAAAACTAAATTTTTCACTATATAATTTAATAGTAATACCTTTTTTGACTTTATAAAAGTTCCATCAAGTATAGAAAAAATCAATTAAGAATGAAAACTTAATTCTTTTGGTTATATAAATTGTTTGATTAAAAATCCAAAATAATATTTGTTTAACGTGATTATTTATTATATTATGTTTACAAACTTTATGTCAAATTTAAAAATATTAATTGTATTTTCAATAATACAGTGTTTTAAGTCGGTTGTTCAATAATAAAAAAATCATTTATAAAGATTTAAGATCTATCTAGAAAAATAATTATAATTTTTTTTAATGGAATTAAATTGCTCATAATTTATTATTGTACAAAATTATGGCTATGTGGATTCTAAAATTAAAAAAATTTATATGACTAAAAACAATCCATTTTTTCCATTTTGATAGTTGTTATTAGTAAATTACTAAAAAATGTTTACGTTTCATTTTTAAAAATTAGATGGCTGATAAAAAGTTATTGATAGTTTTTTAAAAAATAATAAGGAGAAAGAAGGTGTCAATTTAACTTCTCAAAATTATGAGCCTGTTATTAAAAAACAAATTCTTATGAAAGATCTCATTTAAATATTATTAACAATTACATTTCATTATGTAAATAAAACTTTCGAATGTAAAATATCGACAAAAAAGCTATTATATTTTCATGTTTTATGTTTATTTTTGAATTTTGATAATTTTCGATAATTTTAGATTTTTTACCAAAGAGTCGAGACTATTAAATAAGTAAAGTATTTTCCAAGAGCCCAAAAATAATGAACCTAATGCCATAAAAGAGGAGAGAAAATGTTGAATTTTTTAGAAATTCGGATTTTTGAAATTTGATAATTTTTGATAATTTTAGGGAAGAGTCTCCAGTTGTGAGACACCTCCAGTTGTGAGACAGTCAATTTTTTTAACATGCAATATTAAAAAGCCGATTGGTTTATATAAAAACATTTCTTTTTATAAAAGCCAACTTTTTCGTGTACACCGAAGCGGATATATAAACTGTTTTTGTTAAATACTAACACTGAGGGTGATAATCGACTAAAAAGCGTTTTTTCAATAAATGCAAAGTTTTTTTTCCGAGTTAATTAATTGGAAAAGGTAAATGTAATGCATTTTCTTTTAGGGTTTTCCTTATATTTTGTGATGCAATATTGCATTGTTCCAATCTGCGGTTGAAAATAATTTAATTTTCCTTTTTCAAAATAGCGCCAATTTCTGAGTGTGAGACACAGCATATCACCAGTTGTGAGACGGTGTCACCCATCTGGGCAGCATAAAAAATACGACTTTGCAGGCATACTATTTAAATGTTGTTTTGATTTTTTTTCTAGTATTTTTGGGCATGTCAAGTGGAAAAAAGTCAATTGATTCAGAAGAAATCAATTTTAATGCTCTTGTTGAAGCTATTAAATTGTGTTTATTTGATAGTCATATTTTGGCGAATAAATATTATTATTTAGTATATAATAATATATATTATTAATATATTTAATTATTTCTACTAAACATAACGTTTTATGTCAAACTTATTAAATTTTAGCAATTTTTAATGAGTGTCTCACAACTGGAGACATTTTTTTTTTTGAAAAAAGCGATGTGCTCGGAAAATGTATCGTAAATTTTTTTGAGTTCAACGAAACACTATACTTTCTTTTAATAAAAGTTGCGTATTTCTGTTACCTTTCGAACGGTGTATTTTATTTACAATTTTGTTTACCCGTTTAAAATTTACGGGTCAAAAATAAAACCCGTCTCACAACTGGAGACTCTCCCCTATATTTTTTACCAAAGAGTCGAGACTATTAAATAAGTAAAGTATTTTCCAAGAGCCCAAAAATAATGAAGCTAAATTCCATAAAAGAGAGGAAAAAATGTTGAATTTTAAGAAATTCGGATTTTTGAATTTTCGATAATTTTAGATTTTTTACCAAAGATTCGAGACTATTTAATAAGTAAAGTGTTTTCCAAGAGCTAAAAAATAATGAAGCTAAATATTATCAAAGAGAAGAAATACTGTTGAATTTTAAAAAAATCGGTTTTTCGAATTTATGATAAATTTTGATAATTTTAGAATTTTTACCAAAGGGTGGAGACTATACGGCCATGACTATAGTCATGGCCGACTATATCAGGTTGCACCGTTTGCGTAGTACAGTAGGAATGAACGTGAGGGGACGCATGACGATTCCCGACAAAAATCCTGTATAATATTCGATAGACCTTATTTCATTTGTCAAAATTTCTTTTTCATGTAATTTTCTTTTATAAGAATAAGAATGTGTTCCAAATTGTTTATAAACACAATGTTTTTTTAATTAATGCTAATGAATGAAAATAATAATTAATATGAAGATGGAAATAAGAGAATGTTTAAAAACTTGATTTCATAATATATAAATTTTTATTGAACCGAAATAATTTTGAAAAGAAACTTTTGTTTTGATAAATTTTTGTTAAATAGAATTATAGTTTAGCAAATATTTTAGGTAATAAATAGTTTATAATGGAAAGTTTACATTTATTAAAACTTGCATATTTCAAAACTTAAATTGCAACAAAATGTCATTTTTCAGAATTTATGTTTAAGCAGCTTTCATTGAATGCAAATTATTAAACAGAAAAATTTATAATTGACTAAATGTTTAGTAAAATGAATTATTAAATATGTTAATATTTTATTACAACAAAATTTTCTTTCATGTTATAGTTATTAAATAGGTATTAAATTCAGTTGATTGTTTATTTAGACAAATTCTATAATTTTTCAATTAATATATAAACGAATTTTCATATTACAAATTTTTTAAATAATTTAAATGTTATGTGACGGAGTTTACATTAGATCGAATTTTAATTTATCGACATTTTTATTTGC